CCCCCCCATTCAAATGGCATTCAGGTCATGTGCCAAGCTTTGGCTACACCACTGTCTAAAGCACAACCCTGATAGATACACCCTGTTCCACATGTCACATGTAGGTGGGCTCTAGGCTGTAGGAGAAGCTGGAAAATTAGAGAGGTGGGTGGGGATATGGGTGGTAGATTAGGGAGGAGGGGTTGTGAAGGAGGAGGGAAAAGTGCACTCCTTTCTGAGAACAGTGCTTCTGCATGCGTGATTATAATGGGAGATATTAGGGAGTTAGAATGAAATGTGGACAAAGGCTTACAGGTAATGTGTGTGAATGTGGTTCTAAGCATCTATTCTAAGATATTTATGGGGACTAAATGGACATAGACATTTTAAGATACTGGGTTAAAAGTTATAGGGTGAGAGTTGTTAAAATGGCATGCTGATGCAAAACTGTCACTTTAGTGACACTTTAAAACCCTGTTAGTTTGTTTTTTCCCTCATCCATTGAGGGACACAGGAAGTCTTAAACGTTCAGGCTATACAGCCATCCACAGGAGGATTGGACACTGACAAACAAAAAACTGCAGGCTAGCCCAGGATAACACTTGCCACTCCCGGCATGCCTGAGTTTATTGCTATGGAGGATGGACATCTTTTTGTGTAGTGCATGCTTGCCCTCCATGCTCTCTATTCTGCTATACGGTGTCAAGGAAGAATATGCACACTGCTGTTCCTATGTGGAACTCTGATCTTTGCTCTTTTACTGCTGCCCCCCTACAATGATGATGGTCAGCACCGGACATCCAACCCTCACCTGCTACCAGCTGTTGAGGCTTTGTGAGTACCCCAGGCCTTACCTCTTACCCGGAGACTATACAGTGCCTTAGCACCACATGGTAGCAACTTGTCTGATTCTAGACATGGAGGGGGACAGTTCCCCTGTACTAAGTGCCTCCAGCTTACATTCTGATAATGGTTCTGGGGCTGCTTGCAAGCACACCTTCTGAAGGTGCCCCGAGTGCAGTCTTGGAATTTTGGTAGAGTCTGTTCCTCCCTCATAGTCCTCCCTGACAGTATCAGGTGTAGCTGATCCTCTTGGCAAGGTAATGCGAGATTTTATGACCCACATTACCAGTTATTTCCTGACTCACACAGGCCACAAACTCCGTGATCACAGAGGCAACAAGCACGCTCCTGTGTCCTCTCCTGCAGATCCTATATCTGATTTGTCTGCGGTATTAGTGGGCTTCCAAGCTATCAGCTCCAGAGACTGTTTCTGAGTCACTCCAGCCCCTCGCTGATGTCCTCGCCTCTGAGGAGTCACAATCCACTTCTATTACTCCCAAAGGTTTAAGCTCTTATTGATGCAGTGCTCCTATTGCCAGGGATTTCAGTGATTTAACTAAAACTCCCTTTAGGAGAGGCTTATTTGATTGTTTCCCAGGAGTGCTGCCTGAAGACTCCCTGTTTATACTTTTTTGAGTTTAGCATTTCTGGAAATAAAAAAAAAAATGCTGAATATATATTGGGTCATTTTATTTAGGGTGGAATTATTCTACAGAAAGTAATGTGGAGAGAAAATGTTCTTTTTCAGTTTATTTTTTTGCAAGCTTTTCCATAAATATTCAGATGAAAGCAAAAAGATATTTTAAAGACATAAATTTACTGCTGGAAGAAAACAAAATATCAAATGCAGAAATGTGTCTTAACATTGAAAGAGGACCTGAACTGTGAAAGTTGTGCCCAAAAAAAGTCAATGAGAGGGCAGAGGACTAGTCACCAGTATTACTATCATGGATTTACCTGGTGCTGACTGTTGTGTGGATTGGTATGCTGTGGGTAGAACATTACATCAGGCTTCTGTGTATTGACACAATTCAGTATTGGCTGTGGTCTCTTTGCAACTCTTATTTTCCCCATTACTGACATTACTTGTTCTGCACTGACTTTATGAAGAGGCAGACATCTTGGTAGAGGCTGGACTTTACTTCTTCGTCTCAGAGCTGCTCCCCTAATGACTGGTGATCTCATGACTAAAGGGGAATTTATTCAGGAAGCAGTAGAAAACACAGATCCACAGAATGAATAAAGCAAAAGCAGGGAGATCCTTATGCTGCAGGCAAAGCTTTCTTTGCAGCAAGGAAAACAGGGATCAGTACAATATAGACGTCACCAAATCTCTTTAGACTAGCAGTCAGAGGCATAGCGCTTTAGACGATCTCACACTGCAGACATATAGCTATGAGGCTGAAGGAACAGCAAGTGCACTGCTATTTTTAGGTGGAACTCAAAACAAAAAGGGACATTTTTTAGGGTACTGCTTAGGCACAATTAGCATTTGAGAAAAGGAACAAAAGAGAGCGCCTCCATAGTGTAAAAATGTTATTTAATAGTAAAAACACGCAGCTCTAATGGCTGTACTTACAACAGTTCGGTAGAATAAAAACCGGTAGAATAAGGTGAGAGGACGCAACCCCTGACAGGGAGAATCTGGAGTGATGTAAAACACCAGTAACCTTGATCCCTGCATTGATAAATGGTTTATGCGTTTCTGGGGCACGCCCCTTCATCAGAACCAATGCCCCAGAAACCCGTAAACCATTTATCAATACAGGGATCGAGGTTACCGAGCAGCTGCATCCAAGCCTTACATCACCAAGTGCAATGCAAAGCGTGGGATGCCGTGGTGAAAAGCACACTGCCACTGGACTCTAGAGAAGTGGAGACGTGTTCTCTGGAGTGACGAATCACGCTTCTCTGTCTGGCAATCTGATGGACATGTCTGGGTTTGGCGGTTGCCAGGAGAACGGTACTTGCCTGTCTGCATTGTGCCAAGTGTTAAGTTTGGTGGAGGGGGGATTATGGTGCGGGGTTATTTTTCAGGGGTTGGGCTTGGCCCCTTAGTTCCAGTGAAGGGAACTCTTAAGGCATCAGCATACCAAGACATTTTGGACAGTTTTATGCTCCCAACTTTGTGGGAACAGTTTGGGGATGGCCCCTTGCTGTTCCAACATGACTGCGTACCAGTGCACAAAGCAAGATCCTTAAAGACATGGATGAGTGAGTTTGGGGTGGAGGAACATGACTGGCCTGCACAGAGTCCTGACCTCAACCCGATAGAACACCTTTGGGATGAATTAGAGCAGAGACTGCGAGCCCGGCCTTCTCCTCCAACATCAGTACCTGACCTCACAAATGCGCTTCTGGAAGAATGGTCAAACATTCCCATAGAATTACATCAGGCTTCTGTGTATTGACACAATTCAGTATTGGCTGTGGTCTCTTTGCAACTCTTATTTTCCCCATTACTGACATTACTTGTTCTGCACTGACTTTATGAAGAGGCAGACATCTTGGTAGAGGCTGGACTTTACTTCTTCGTCTCAGAGCTGCTCCCCTAATGACTGGTGATCTCATGACTAAAGGGGAATTTATTCAGGAAGCAGTAGAAAACACAGATCCACAGAATGAATAAAGCAAAAGCAGGGAGATCCTTATGCTGCAGGCAAAGCTTTCTTTGCAGCAAGGAAAACAGGGATCAGTACAATATAGACGTCACCAAATCTCTTTAGACTAGCAGTCAGAGGCATAGCGCTTTAGACGATCTCACACTGCAGACATATAGCTATGAGGCTGAAGGAACAGCAAGTGCACTGCTATTTTTAGGTGGAACTCAAAACAAAAAGGGACATTTTTTAGGGTACTGCTTAGGCACAATTAGCATTTGAGAAAAGGAACAAAAGAGAGCGCCTCCATAGTGTAAAAATGTTATTTAATAGTAAAAACACGCAGCTCTAATGGCTGTACTTACAACAGTTCGGTAGAATAAAAACCGGTAGAATAAGGTGAGAGGACGCAACCCCTGACAGGGAGAATCTGGAGTGATGTAAAACACCAGTAACCTTGATCCCTGCATTGATAAATGGTTTATGCGTTTCTGGGGCACGCCCCTTCATCAGAACCAATGCCCCAGAAACCCGTAAACCATTTATCAATACAGGGATCGAGGTTACCGAG